TACCAGAGCTCCGGAAATCCGTGTATGAAAAGAATCTGCGCACCTTTGCCTTTCTCTGCTACGTGCATGTTTATGCAGTTGACATTCACAGTTCTGGGGTCTATACCTTCCATTTTTTATTTCCGTCTTTCTCAATTCTTTGATCTTTATCTCTCTAAATTTGTATACTGATGATTTTTTTTTTTTTTTATAACAGACAAATGGTATAATTAAAACAAAAAAAAAGTTAATTAAACCCTTATTTTGGTCCTTAAACTATTGTACGTACCTTCGATTTGATTCTTGAACTAAAGAAATCCCTAATTTGGTCCTTAAACTATTGTACTGATCCCTAAGTTGGTCCCTAAACTATTATACGGACTCCGAGTTAATCCTAAATTATTATATGGATCCCTAATTTGGTCCATACTGTTTACCAATTTAGCCTCAACTTGATTTTTTAGTTAAATAATAACTCAGGGACTAAATTGAGGTGAAATTGTAAACAGTAAGGACCAAATTAGAGGTCCGTACAATAGTTTAAGGACCAACTTAGGCCAAATTATAAACAGTGGGGACTAAATCGGGGTCCGTACAATAGTTTAAAGATCAAATCAAGGATTTTTTTAGTTCAAAGACCAAATCAAGGGTCTGTAAAATAATTTAGGGACCAAAATGGAGATTTAACTGTCACGCCCCAAAACCCAAATCCGGGGCGCAGCAGACGCCGTGCACTCGTGAGACGGGTCCCACAAATGCACAAGGCTCGGAACTTACTGAACAAAATCAGTTTTGATACCATAAAATTTCCAATTAAAATCTAACTTACAAGAGCATGGAGTACATGTATCTAAAATCTATGTCAAATCTCAAGTGGCTAGCCTTTTATCATGTCACTCCCCTTGATTTCCGATTCTCGGGGCACACTACCTGAAATGGTGGACGAGAAAAACAAGGTGAGATAACTCAGTAAGTAAAATATGGATTGCCCTTAATTAAACTTACAGCATGCCAACAAGTGCAATCACGAAAAACGGATACAGTACGGGCACGAAATAGACGTCTCCTCTATAGGTCACGGCCAGTGTTATAAACCTCCCACTGGCAGGCTACAGAATTTGCTGGTGTATAATCCCCACTAGCAGGTTCACTGAACGAACCGGTTCTATCAATAACATGTCGACATGTGCTAGCGTTTATAAACCTCCCACTAGCGGGCACACGAATAACATGACCATATCGGAGACAAAACAGGCAGAAGTTCACAGGAAAATCACAATTCACAATCACTTTCAGATCATCAGGACAGTCACTTAAATTCCAAGTAGGCATGCTCAATTTAATGAAAACCATAAAACATTTCACTTCAAATCAATCACACTTGTGTAAAACGGGT